GCCGCACTGTCAGAGGGTCAGTGCTGAGGGAGTGCCGCACTGTCGGAGGGTCAGAGCTGAGGGAGTGCCATACTGTCGGAGTGTCAGTGCTAAGGGAGTGGGCACTGTTGGAGGGTCAGCTATGAGGTAGTGCTTCAATTCCTTGTATCTCCCCTGAATTTAAATTTCATTATTTTCCACTGTGGGATATGAATCCACGTTCCCAGAGCATTAAACGGGGGTGTTGAATTGTTCAAAACCAAAAGAACTGCGGATGCTGTAAATCAGAAACAAAAACAGAAGTTTCTGGAAAAGCTCAGCAGGTCTGGCAGCATCTGTGGAGGGAAATCAGAGTTAACGTTTCGGGTCCGGAGACCCTTCCTCAAGAACCGTTCTGATCACCGAACCCGAAACATTAACTGTGTTGAATTGTTAATCCACTGACGTTACCACAATACCACCTTATCCCCTACAGTGACCACTCTATTAATGTTATTTCCTGCTCTCTCTCTCTCTGGCCTGGAACAATTTATCAATTTAGCCTCAAAATTCCAGCAATTCCCACTTTCACACATTAATCTCCAATTCTTTCCTTGCCTCTCTCATTTTCTCTGTTTAATTTCTGGGAACAGACTACTCCCCCTATATCATTGAAGCGTGCTGACTCCCACCATTAACTCTCTCTCTCTCTCTCTCTCTCTCCACTTCCTGTTTGTATCCCAAGTTCCCAGCATCCGCAGTATTATGCTTTTGGGAATGTTGGAATCCTCCAGTCCACAGGCAGTAAACCCTTTACAGAGGGTTTTGACATCAGATGGGTAATTGGCTGGCTGTAGATGTTTGGTGTTATAAAGGTGGAAGCTGGAGGTTTTGGTGGTGGAGAGGGTAATAAACTGAGCACCATTGATCTATGATAACAAGGCATAGAGCTGGATGAACACAGCAGGCCAAGCAGCATCAGAGGAGCAGGAAGGCTGACGTTTCGGGCCTAGAACCTTCTTCAGAAATTTTGCCATTTGAGCTTTGCTGGAAAAGGACACTTTTTAAAGTCTTTTAGTGACGAACAATGGTTATACTGTATGAGAGGAGAGTGTTGATTAGTTAATAAGTGAAAATAATCCCCATTGACAGCCATTCTGTCTCCTAGTCAGATCATTATCCACTCCTTTTTCTGCCCAACTGCTCTTCTCTCTCTTTGGGCTCTATCCCCACCTACTGTTTACTCCTTACCCCCTCCTCGACACTTTTGTAGCTGCCATCAGTTCTAAGGGTGCCGGACCTGAAATGTTAACTCTGATTTCTCTTCACAGATGCTGCCAGACCTGCTGAGCTTTTCTAGCAATTTGTGTTTTTGTTTGATGAGACTGGTTTAACTGTGAGCAAGTCTCCAGCACCAGCCTGTGTTGGTGTTACCTCTGGATGGACAAGGCTCCCTATCAACTCCTCTGTTGTCACTCCAACCAGGATGGGGATTTTCTGAAACCGTCCGTCCTGGAACATCTTCCAGGGATTATCAGGAAGGAAATATCCATCCACAACGAGAGCAGGAATTAACTGGTACAGTTCATTCTGAAACAGGGATCAGCGTTGTAAATAAACAATAAGAAAGTCAGAGCATGATTTTCACAACAGTGTTTTACATGTAACGAGCCATTTCTTGAAGCCTAGTTTCTGCCAGAAGGAAGGGAACACAGCTGCCAATTTGTACACAGTAAGATCACACAAACTGCACACTAGGTACATCTCTCCCGCTCTTATCCAGACTGTGCGCCACAAAGTGTTTTTTTAAGTTCTCCAGAGAGGACACACGGTATCCCAGTCTTTGTTCAGCGGGAAGCTGGTGCTCCCTCCCTCCAGGCTGCAGCACAGTGCCTTCATGTACTCAAAACTTGAGTGTGCGATTTGTACTGTTAACCTTCTGAACCACAGCTATGAGCACACACTACCGGAATCATAGAATTGAAGCAGAGAACCCCTACAGTGTGGGAGCAGGCCATTTAGCCCAGGACATCCACATTGCCCCTCCAAACAGCATCCCACCCAGACCAGCCCCCACATCCCACCCTATCCCTGTAACGCTACATTTCCCATGGCTAACCCACCTAACTTTAAACGGAGAGAGAGAGATCACAGGAGCAGATGAGGAGGGGCAAAACTGGATAAAGGGACAGGGTGGAGTGGAGATGGTCAGGAGTGGAGGGGGAGGGGCAGGAGTGGATGGGGAAGGGCAGGAGTGGAGGCAGAGGGGTCAGAAGGGAGGGAGGGAGTGGAGGATGGAGGAGAAAGGAGGGAGGTAGGGTTGAGGAGAGGGTGATGTGTTTGGGGGAAGAATGTGTGTTTGGGAGGGGAGAGTTTGTCGGTTATGTTTTGAAACTTAGTTCTGAGATCTGTGCAGTGGCACTGAGCACATGAAGCAGCTTATTTTCTCCTGAGAGGTCATCTCTTGAATATTTGAGAAGGAAATGTATTTGTGGTTGTCTCATCTCCCAAACAAGGTCTGAAGGTGGTAACAATAGCAACCACTCTGTATGCACAGTGCAATCCCAGAAACATCAGTGAGGTCATGGCCAATCTGTAATGACTGGGGCTGAGGAGAACACTTTGCTGGCCTCACAGGGTCCTTTAACATCCCCACTGAGCAGGCAAAACCTTGGATTTACTGCCTCAGAGAGACGGGCTGAGTTTAATCTGTCCTCGGCTGGGAGAACAGATCCTCACTCAGTAAATCTTTAGGTCAAGGACCATTCCAGTTTACACAATCAAATTTAAACTGAATATTTGTGTGTTGAGTGTGAAGCAATGTACCAGTCTCGTGGTGATTTCAGCCATCTCTTCCTCAGTCTTGATACTGAGGCAGTGCAGCAGCAGCTGTGACTGAGTGCAGTTACATCCTGCTATCTGAGCGACTTCCTGCAAAAAACACAAGATCAGACATCACACACCAGGCCCTTCCCAATGTCCTCCTGGCAATCCGCAGCCCCCTCGGCATCAGGAAGGAATTGCATTTATGTAGCCGCTTCTTAATGTGGCTAGAATGTCTCAAAGTCTTTCACAGGCAAAGAAATGCTGAGAAGGGCTCCCTGTTGGTCAGTTGGAAATAGCAACATTCAATTTGTGCATAGTAAGCTCCCACTGAATGCAGTGTGAGACAGCAGAGGATCACAACACAAATGGAGACTACTAAGCCCACTGGATTTCTGTCCCATCATTTTAAGGGCTATGTAATTTCTCCCACTCTCCTTAATCTTTCCTTTACCTTTCAAAATGAATTTAATTTTCAAACACATATTAAACTCCCTTTTGAACTCCCTAAGGAATCAGCCTCCAACAACTTCTCAACTGAAAAATCTGAGTGAGTCTATTTGCTGATTCTCAGAACTCTGTGTCCCTTTCATTACCACCCACTGCCTTTGGAAATAGTGTTTCTGTGTTCACTCTGCCTGAAGCTTCATGCTTTGGGAATCATCATTAAATTTTGATGCAACTTTCTCTGCTGTAAGGGGAACAAGCTTCTTCTCTGCACATCCTCATAATCCCTGGCCTGTCATGTCATTCTGTCCTCTCTAAGCTCAGTAAGTGGGAAAGTCTGTGGCAAATAGATTGCAATGAGGAAAATGGGGCTTCTTCCAATTTAGACCTAAAACAGATCAATACAGGACCTTTCTAAATGGTGACAAGCCATAAACCATGGAGGAACAGAGTTGGCTGGAGTTACAAGTACAAAGATCATCAAAATGACATTGACAAGTCTAGAGAGTAATGAGAAAGGTGAATGGGATGCTGGTCATAGAGTCATATAGCACAGAAACAGACCCTTTGTTCCAACCAGTCCATGCTGATCATAATCCCAAACTAAACTAGTACCACCTGCCTGCTCCTGGCCCATATCCCTCCAAACCTTTCCCATTCATGTACTTATCCAAATGTCTCTTAAACATTGTAACTGTACCTGCAGTTATCAGTTCTTCAGGAAGTTCATTCCATTAGAACATAAGGGAGTGGAATGATGCCTCAGGTGTACAAAGCCCTGGTTAGATCACACGCACAGTGAGCACTGCACTTTGAGAAGGGTATCCTGACTCAAGAGGGACAGCAGGGCAGGTTCACCAGAATGAAACCTGGAATCCAAGGCTTAAATTACAAGGTGGAACTGCACAAAATGGGTTTGTATTCCCTGGAATTTAGAAGGATAAGGGATGATTTGATCAAAGTTTTTAAGGAAATGAAATGATGGGACAGTGTTTATAATATTATTGATTTCCAGAAACGCATTGACAACCTAAAGGGGAAACGAGGGACATCAAAATGTTAATTTATAGATCAACACATTGGGTTAAAAATTGCAAATGTGATAATCATGTAATCTGGCATCATGGAGCATGCTCAGTAAGCACAAAAGCACATGAGACTTCTGAGGTGAAAGGTCAATGACCATAATCTGAGGTCCCCACGAATAAAACGTCTTCATTACACATCCCTCACAGTTACTGCATACTCTCAGCAAACTCATGTGAGCCAGCTGGGTTGGCACTGGAGGCACCAATCCTGGCATTAGAGCGCTCCCACTTTCCAGTATTGCCTGATGGAACAAACCAGTGGATAGTGGAGATAAAATCTGGAATAAAATGTAGAAAAGAGATTTAGAACATGATAAAATACTTTAGGAATAAGTTTTATGTGGGATTGTGTTCACTGTGTTCTTAAGTCATCTGCTCAATTATCTTTGAGTATGTGGGGAATGGGAATGAACACCGGATGGGAGAGATCAGTGACATCTTTGACAGTGTAGCACTCCCTCGGTACAGCAACAACATTTTTGAGTTAGATTCCGACTGCATTTTCCTGGAGTTGTACCTGACCTCACAACCTTCAGAGTCAGAGCTTCACAGTCAGTATGATCACTGACCAGAAAGCAACATGAATACCCAAATACCCAGACAAGTGCCAACTATGTAAATCACATTTTGTCTCTTATCAAGATCCTAGCTGAAGTACTAACTCGACAAGTCAGATTCCAGAATGAAATCTGGTTTGATAGTTAATAAATTTATTTTTCTGCTTAGTTGGTTTCTGTTGTTATTAGTCACTGAAGCATACCCACATGAGGCTGCAGCTTTTCTTTAACAATGGAACTCATGTTTTACTCCACAAAAGAAGCAAGGTATCTGAATATAAAAGACAGTTCGAATGATTGTAAAATACAGAATAAAATCACATTTCAATCTGTTTCCTGACACTATCCATTACAGAGATTCAAATCCAGAGATCAGTGTTTCTCCTTGAACTGACTCCTTTCCATTCCTTTGCTGTGTGGAGACAATCCTTGGGTCCTTTCTAAGTCTGCTGACATGAACTTTTCATAAATCCTACAGCGCCCACCTTCTCAGTTCTATTCACTTGTACATTTCTGATGAAAAAAAACTCTCCGGATTTGGAAAGTTTTAAAACGAAACTCTTCTGATGATATAACAGAGCAGGTCAGGCAGCATCAGAGGAGCAGGAAAGTCAACATTTCGGGTTTACACCCGTGCTCCTCTGATGTTGTCTGACCTGCTGTGTTCCTCCAGCTCCACACTGTATTGACTCTGACTCCAGCATCTGCAGTTCTTGCTATCTCTCATGAAATAACAGATTCTCTGAATGACCCTGAACTCTCAGCAAAGAAACTAAACTTTAGAACTCAAATCTGGTGTCTTCTGAAATGAAATTTTTTTAAAAATTAATGCTGGATTCTAACTATTTACCCTAACTTTCATAAACCTAATAGTATAAACATCTTTCCATTAACACCACAGGGGTTTTCATTCACCTGCTTTTTGATAACATGCTGGATTTAGTTACCAGATTTAGAAGGACTCTCCCTCGCCTTTAATTTAGAAAGAAACCCCTTCACAGAAGTAATCATCACCAATCTGTTTCTATTTTGAAATCCAAAGTTTAAAAATAGTAGAAATATATCTAAATTATACACTTCTCATCATACTCTGAACTCAAATTTTGAGACTCAAGTCAGTGCAGCAACTTGAGAACTGAACCCAGGTGGACTCTCCAATGCAGACCATTTCAATCCTCAGTCGTTGGGCATTGGAAAGAATAGGAATGGGAATAAAGTGGTGATTTTTGAAAAAGGATGTCAGACTTTTCTAAGGGGTGGGATAGTTGACAGGGTTCTGGTGGTTACAAAGACAGGATCAAGGAGAGGGAACAATGTGGGATGGAGCTGGGTGTTGGCAGAGTTGGACAATGCAGGGAATGTCAGAATGGGCTGGGACTGGGTGGGAATAATAGGGGTGGACAGGAGGAATGTAGCAGCTGGGAGAATCTAGCAGGTCAGTGGGCAGGATAAGAATGATTGAGTTATATCTTGAAAGCCTTGACTTCTCAAAGTTGCATTCTCTCTGATTCCCATCGCTGAGAGAGAGCCTGGATCAGAAACTGATGAGCTTCTGAGTCTGTCACTCTACCTTAGACCAGGCTGTAGTTCCAGTAGATTTCTGCTGAACTTGAACAATTGGAGAAAGGGAGAGAGAGAGAAAGGAAAGAGGTTCCCACCATACATGCAGTGAGACACTGAGTGATCCAACTGACTGTCCGAACAGTGTAACCATTCCTGGGTTCCCACCAAACTCATGAATATTCTTCTGTACCCACTGCAGGGCTGCCAATTGGTCCAGGAACCCAAAATTCCCTCGAGCATATTCATCTCCTGTGCTGTGTCACAAACAGCAAAACAAAGGTGTAAGACACTTAGTACTTAACATTTAACTTTTGCTTACTAAGTTTCTGGCAGAAGAGCACAGCTTCATGAAAAAGCATCATTATCTGGGAAATTTTGACTGATAACAAGTTCCTGTCTGGGCACAGACCAGCACAGGACAGTATGATCAGGAACTTCATGGGATTAGTGAGGCACCTTCTTCCCTAAGGGACATTGTGGTTCAACCCACAGCAGGTGGATTGCAGCGGGTCAAGAGGGCAGCTCACCACCTCCTTCTCAAGTGGGCAACCAGGGACAGGCAATAAAATGCTGGCCCAGCCAGAGATGCCCATGTCCCTGTTCTTGGTAAAACTGCAAGCTGTGAAATGTATGGATTTATACTGACCAGAGAGTGAAGGAGAGGTATACAAATGCTACGTTTTACAGTACACTCAGTGAGTCTGTGACAATGCACTCTTTCTCCTGCCTGCTGTAGCTCAGAGTCACCGTGGAAACCCCCTCACCCTATCATTAACCCCCCGTTTATAATCTGATGGCTTCAGGCTCAGAGGTGGAGACAAAGCCCATTGCAACACTGAAACACCCAATAACAGGAGGGGCTTTTACTGCTGAATACACAGGCTTGTCCCCCTCCAACCCCTCCAACTCCCCCCTCCTGCTCCCACCTCTTCCCCCGTCCCCAACTCTACTCCCCCCATGACTCCCATCACATCCCTGCAGCTGGAGACCAAGTATGTTGCAAGTGAGGGTCCAGGGGTTTTTGTGAAGATATTACTGTTGTTGTCACTGTCATTGTGGGATTATTGGTCATGATTATCACACGAACCAGGAGCAGGCCATTCTGCCCCTCAAGCCTGCTCTGCCATTTAATAAAATCAAGGCTGATCTGATTGTAACCTCATTGTATACTTGTACATTGTAACATTACCATCATAACTGCACTTCTTGTGACAGCCAGTAAATGGTATTCAATCCTATTTTCTGGTAAAATAGCTTATAAACATAGAGAAGGAACAACATCCACTTGCTCACAGGAGTTTGAGGTGAGTGGTTTAGAAATAAAGTTCAGGAGATCAGAGTGCTAAGGAATGATGGTCCCGGACTTCAGCACGGCTAAGGAAGGATCCTGCAGAAACGATACTCAGCAGCTCAGGAATGTGCTGCATTGGGGAACAGTCCTAGAAACTGACAGCTTCCTGACTGTGGAGGGATCATGTCCTGGAGAACTCAGGGAGCTGCTGAAGGATCTGAGATCACATCCTCGAGAGCTTAGTGATCTGCTGAGGGATCTATGATCAACTCCTGGAGAACTCAGGATCTGCTGAGGCAACAGACCCTTCAGTCCAACTCATCCCTGCTGACCAGATATCCTAGATAAATCTAGTCCCATTTGCCAGCATTTGGCCCATATCCCTCTAAACCCTTCCTATCCATGTAGATGCCTTTAAATGTTGTCATTGTACCAGCCTCCACCACTTCCTCTGGCAGCTCATTCCATACACGCACCACCCTCTGTGTGAAAAAGTTGCCCTTCAGGTCCCTTTTAAATTGTTCCCCTCTCAACTTAAACCTATGCCTTATAGTTTTGGACTCCCCTACCCTGGGGAAAAGTCCTTGTCTATTTATCCTATCCATGCCCCTCATGAGTTTATAAACCTCTATAAGGTCACCCCTCAGCCTCCGACGCTCCAGGGAAAATAGCCCCAGTCTATTCAGCCTCTCCCTATAGCTCAATCCCTCCAACCCTGGCAACATCCTTGTAAATCTTTTCTGAACCCTTTCAAGTTTCACAACATTCTTCCTATAGCAGGGAGACCAGAAATGCATGCAGCATTCCAAAAGTTGCCTAACTAATGTCTTGTACAGCCGCAACATGATCCCCCCTCAACTCCTATACTCAATGCACTGGCCAATAAAGGCAAGTATACCAAATGCCTTCTTCACTGTCCAGTCTACCTGCGACTCCACTTTCAAGGAACTATGAACCTGCACTCCAAGGTCTCTTCAGTCAGCAACATTCCCCAGGACCTTACCATTAAATGTATAAGTTCTGTCCTGATTTGCCTTTCCAAAATGTAGCACCTCACACTTATCTATTACCTGCCACTCCTTGGCTCTTTGGCCTATCTGATCAGGATTCTGTTGTACTCTGAGGTAACCACCTTCACTGCCCACTACACCTCCAGTAATAGAGGATCATATGCAAATAAATATAGTAATAAGTAAAAATATATCCAGAAAGAAATTGAACAAATTCTATGATATTGGTTTCACACTATTAATAAGTGTTTTCTTAAACATCTGTATTACTGCTTCTCTAACACTATGCAAAAGTTTAGGATCAAATTGAAACATGCAGTGCACACTGCACAAACAGTATACATCTATCTTGTCAGAATGTATTTGTTTTGTACATGAAAAAGGTCTTCATTCTGTATCGGGCTTCTTACACTCTGAATTTTGTTTCCTCAGATATCATCTGGATGGGTATATGAACAGGAAGTATTTAAAGGGACATGGGCCAAATGCTGGCAAATGGGACTAGATTTATATAGGTGTCTGGTCAGCATGAACGAGTTGGACCAAAGGGTCTGTTCCTGTGCTGTATATCTCTATGACTCGATCTGGAGAACTCAGGGATCTGCTGAGGGATCTGAGATCATGTCCTGGAGCATCCAGTAATCTGCTGAAGGATTTGGAATCACCTCTTGGAGAACACAGGGGTGTACTGAGGGATCTGACATCACATCCCGAAGAACTCAGTGATCTGCTGAGGGATCTAGGATCACCACCTGGAGAATTCGGGGATCTGTTGAGGTATCAGGAATCACATCCCGAAGAACTTGGGGATCTGCTGAGAGATCTGAGATCACAACCTGGAGAACTCAGGGCTCTGCTGAGAGATCTGAGATCACGTCCTGAGAAGTCAGGCAGCTGTTAAGGGATTTGAGATCTCAGAGGGAGGGAGTGAGGGATATGGGTAGGGCAGGGGGAGAAGACACAGAGTCTTTGCCAGACAAATCGCACTGCGAGTCAGTGTAAGAGAGAATGAACAGAATGAGACAGTAAAGATGGAAGTGGAGGAAGGATAGAATGATAAATGAGAAAGACTGAGTGACAGGAAGGGAGAGTGAGACATAAAAGGAGAGACTGTGGAGAGAGAGAGAGTAGAGAGTGCATGAGGGAGAGACAGAAAGTGATAGGCAGCGTGAGAAAAAATGTGAGAATCATAAAAAAGAGAGACTGTAAGGAATAAAACAGGAGACAGAGAGAGAATGAGTGAGGGAGAGAATTTGACATTAAAAAACAAAGATATTTTAAAAAGTACGTCCATTCCGCTCACAAGAGAGAGAGATTTGTCGGTTTACTTCAAGGGAGTATGTGAGTCTCTATCTCCCCATGACTGTGTCCTAACTGGATACTTGTTATTGTTCACTGCTAAAAGTCATTTCTATTTATAATTATGCCTTTAACACAATAAAATGCCCAAGGATCTTCATAAAAGCTTTGTGAACCAAATAATGACTGTGCTCCACACAAGGAGATATTAGATCAGCTGACTAAAGGCTTGGTCAATGAAATAGGCTTTAAGAAGCTTCCTAAATAAAAGGCTTGAGATGCAGGGACAACAAGGTGTAGAGCTGGATGAACACAGCAGGCCAAGCAGCATCAGAGGAGTAGGAAAGCTAATGTTTCAGGTCTGGATCCTTCTCTAGGCCTGAGATGCAGACAGGTTTCGGGAGGCAATTCTAGAGTTTAAGGTCCAGGCAGCTGAACATGGAGCTGCCCAATATTAAGACAATTAAACGCGGGGATGCTGAAGAGGACAGAACTAGAGGACCCCTGATATTGCTGAAGATTATGTGTCAGGAGGAGATGACAGAAATAGGAAGGGCTGAGTGAGGGCTGTGGAAGACTCTGAAAACAAGGGTAGGATATTCTGAATGGAGAGTGTCTTCGACTGGGAGACACTCCCAGGCAGGCAGCATACAGGGTGAATGAGGCTTCATGTGAGTTAAGCCACAAAGGCTGGAGAAGTTCTGATGAGCTCAAGTTTGCACTTACCTGAGGAAGCCAGCCACACTGATCCTGTACTGAATTATCACCACCACGACATTGCCATAACCGGCCAGGGCTGTCCCACTAAAGGAAGAACTCTTGCCCAGAATGAAGGCTCCTCCATGGATATAGACCATAACCTGGGAGGCAGAGCAAGGGAGAAACTGAAATCTTTGATGCACACCAACCTGAAGAGTCCCCAGGAAATCCAAGCTGGGTTGAGAAAACGGCGGGGAAGTATAGAATTTCTTTTGACTGAATGTTTTAGATCCAACCCTCACCCATCCATGATCCCAAAGCCACAGCCAGAAGCTGATTGGCTGCTCCTTCAATCAGCCACTTCCAGGCTGGTCAGAGCTGCTGGTTAACTTTGACTGGATCACTCACCAGTCATTTGCCAGTGAATCAATCCAATGGTGCAGCTCAGGAGGACGTTCAACCCCAAGGTAAAGGTGGGCTTGGGGACAGTGGACTGGGGGCAATGGGGTGGACAATTACAGAGGTGGGGGGCAAGATGATTGGTGGAAGGATTATAGGGAACATGAGGAAAACCCTTCCCACCCAGGACAAGCTGGGATCCAGAATCCACTGTCTAGTTTAATAGTGGATGCAGAAACCTCTTATTCACTGAAAGGGAACCTAGATCCATAATGGAAGTTGCCAGGTTACAGACCAGGGGCCCGATAGTGGGATTTAAAAAAAAAACATTTTATTGTGTTAACTTGTTCAGTAATATTATTGCTGGCCTCTGGAGCAGGTGGGACTTGAACCCAGGCCTCCTATCTCAGAGGCAGGGAGTCTACCACAGCACCACAACAGCCCTATGGTCAGTGGGATTAGAATGGATTTTAAAAATATTTAACCTATTTTTCTAATCAGCCTGTTCAGAGATGTCATTACACACTGCTGGAGCAGGTGGGACTTGAACTCAGGGATACGGTCCAGGGATAGGGACATTACCATTGTGCCACAAGACAGTCCTCTTGAGTCCTTTCTTTAAATAAAATTAACATTCTTCTAAGGAGCCTGTTCAGGGACATTATTTCACGGCTCTGGGGCAGGTGGGATTTGAGCCCAGGTCTCCCATTCCAGGGGCAGGGATGCTACCACTACACCACAGGAATCCTACCATCTGTGGGATTAGAATGGACAATTTATTGTATTGGGCTAGCAAAGATGTGATATGTTGAACGGCCTCTTCCAGGGCTGTAATGTTTCGAAGGCTCTGTGTTTCCTGTCCTGGTTCTTTGTCTCATACACCCCACTTCCCTTCCTCCCCATCCAAAGCTCCTCACACATTCAGCCTATTCCTGATATTCCTGTTGAATCTGCTACCACTGCCCCTTCAGGCAGCACATTCCAGATTACAGCTCGTTACATGGTGGAAGGGATTTCTCCTCATCTCCCCACAAAGGTCTGTGTCCCGGGGGCTGGTCTGAACATTGCGAACCTTATTGATGTGAAGAGTCAATTACAAAGAGATTTCCCTCTCTCTTAGGGGTCAGGAAGCTGATACTTTACCTCCCCCATCCCTTAGCCTCTTGCTCACTCACTATCACTCACTATCTATGTGCCATCCCCATTCAGGCAGTAGTCACACAACACCAGATTATAGTCCTACAGTTTTGTTTGAAGCTTGTGATTTCAAATAAACTTGTTGGCCTATAACTTGATGTTGTGTGATTTCTGACTTTGTCCATCCCTGTCCAACACTGGCACGTCCACATCATTCCCACTCAGGCAGATGCAGAGGGGTTTAAATGCATCCTCCTGCTCCTACATCGCAAATTGTTGACTTACAGGCAGAGAGATGTTTTGCTGTGAAGGATGGACTGGAGTATAGACGCTGAGATACAAGCAGTCCTCACTGGCAGGCACCGGGAATGGCCCCAGATGTTTTCTGAATTTCTGCAGGCACCTGGCAGTGTGAATGAGCAGTACATTTTTTAGTTATTATTCCTGAGAAAGATCACTGCCCTGAATCTCCACACATGCTGTAAAATAGGCAATTCCCTGCATGTTCTATTTTAATCTGAGATGATTTGAAAACATCTCGGAGTTTGCGCTACAGCTCTGCCTGGTCAGTCTGTCCCTGTCTCTGTCCATTACTTGGAATTACAGACAGTTCACAGCACAGTCCCAGAACTGTCATAAAAACCACAAAAAGAAACTGCAGATAACTGTAAATCAGAAACGAAAACAGAAGTTGCTGGAAAAGCTCAGCAGGTCTGGCAGCATCTGTGGAGAGAAATCAGAGGTAGTGTTTTGGAGCAAGTGTCCCTTCCACAGAACTGCCAACCTGACGACTCTGTGCTGCTTCACTTTGATCAATTCAGTTCTTCCCTCCTGCTTCAAGATGTTCTTTTCTTCTCTTTCAGTGGAGCAGTTTTTCCTGATTCCCTGAAGGGATTCCCAGCTCATGGGGTAGGGGAGTAAGTCTCAGAAAGAAGGTTAGCAACACCAGGGGGTGGCATGTGCTGGGAGAGGGTGGGGTGTGGGTCCTCTGTGAGCATTCAGTGGGTAGTTTTAAAGCTAGCCCCCATTTGGATACAATCACTGGGTTGTGCCAGCCTTGGGAAATATAGCTGACTACAGTTACATCAGAGCAATGTTGAGATTCTGCACTCAGCCACTATGGTGCCTGGTGGTGAAGTGGCGACGTCAGTTTTTTTTAATAACCTACAGCCCTAGGCTAATACTCTGGGAATGTGGGTTGAAATCTCACCGTGGCAAATGGTGACATTTGATTCCATTTAAAAATAAATCTAGAAGGGAAAGCTTGCTTTCCTGGAGCTGCTCTCTGAGCAATAAGTACCTGTCCAGCCAAATAACACAGTCGTCCTGTGACAGAATACAAATTGGTTGCAGCTGTGTATGTCCCCTCTAATTTCTCCAGTCATCATGGGAACCTCCAAAGACCATACAATGGCAGTGGCCGGACAATCCAGAAGTAAAGGTGTCGGAGCAGCGATTACTGTTCTCAGAGGCTCTGTCTGACCCTAAAGTCAGAGAAGTCATACAACACAGAAACACACCCTTCTGTCCAACCAGCCCATTCCGATCATAATCCCTGGCCTATATCCCTCCAAACCTTTCCAATTCATGTACTTATCAAAATGTCTCTTAAACATTGTAACTGTACCCACATTCACCACTTCCCCTGGAAGCTCATTCCACACACCAAAGACTCTGTGTAAAAGAATCGCCCCCTCTTTCTTCTCTCGCCTTAAAAATATGCCCCCGGTCTTGAAGTTCCCCACCCTAGGGAAAATACATCCGCCATTCACCTTATCTATGTCCCTCATGATTTTACAAACCTCTATACAGTCATCCCTCAAACTCCTATGCTCCAGTGAAAAAAGTTAAAAAAGATGTCTATCTAGCATCTCCTTATAACTCAAACCCTCCATTCCCAGCAACATCCCAGTAAATCTCTTCTGAAACCTCTCCAATTTGATAATATCCTTCCCGTAATAGGGCAACCAGACCTCTTAGAGACAATCAGAGATAGTAGGAACTGCAGATGCTGAAGAATCCGAGACAACAAGGTGCAGAGCTGGATGAACACAGCAGGCCAAGCAGCATCATAGGAGCAGCAAGGCTGAAGTTTTGGGCCTAGACCCTTCATCAGAAAAGGGGGAGGGGAAGGGGGTTCTGAAATAAATAGGGAGAGAGTGGGAGGCAGATAGAAGATGGATAGAGGAGAGGATAAGTGGAGAGGAAACAAACAGGTCGAAGAGGCGGGAATGGAGCCAGTAAAGGTGAGTGTAGGTGGGGAGTTAGGGAGGGGATAGGTCAGTCCAGGGAGGACGGACAGGTCAAGGGGGCGGGATGAGATTGGTCGGTAGGAGATGGGGGTGCGGCTTGAGGTGGGAGGAGGGGATAGGTGGGAGGAAGAACAGGTTAGGGAGGCGGGGACGAGCTGGACTGGTTTTGGGATGCGGTAGGGGGAGGGGAGATTTTGAAGCTTGTGAAATCCACATTGCTACCATTGGGCTGCAGGGTTCCCAAGCGGAATATGAGTTGCTGTTCCTGCAACCTTCGGGTGGCATCGTTGTGGCACTGCAGGAGGCCCAGGATGGACATGTCGTCTGAGGAATGGGAGGGGGAGTTGAAATGGTTCACGACTCTTTCAATTCCTCCCACTTCCTACAGACAAAGGGGGTGGCCATGGGTACCCGCATGGGCCCAAGCTACGCCTGCCTCTTTGTAGGTTACGTGGAACAATCCCTCTTCCATACCTACACCGGCCCTAAACCCCACCTCTTCCTCCGTTACATTGATGACTGTATCGGCGCCGCCTCGTGCTCCCACGAGGAGCTCGAACAGTTCATCCACTTCACCAACACCTTCCACCCCAACCTTAAGTTTACCTGGACCATCTCTAATACCTCTCTCCCCTTCCTGGACCTCTTGGGAACCGCTTGGGAACCCTGCAGCCCAATGGTAGCAATGTGGATTTCACAA